TTTTTCTTTGGTATCTATCAACTTCATGTTTTAAAAATGCCTCTATAATAGGGCTAATACTACTGGCTTCACTTTCTGATAATAGATTTTTTTTTTGAGTTGTAAGCCAAATCCATTTAGCTTTTATTAATAAAGGTGGTAGTTGGCTAAGAAGATTTGAATAACTTTTTTTTTTTTTTTAATATTAAAGGTAAGGTCTTGCTCATATCTTTATTGAGTAATTTATATAAAAGGCTATATAGTAAACTATATACAACTTAATTTGTACTAATTCAAATATATATAAATTACATGCAAGAGTAAAAGCTCAGACTAATAAAATTTATCTGCAACCTAAATCTACTAGAGTGGTCAAGACTCATCTAGCTTTTCAAGGTTAGTATAGAATTAATAGGTTTACTAGAAGAAGCTCATGTAGAGCTCTAGCTATTAAACTTTTTTGTAGCTAGCCCAGCTGGTGGGCATGTATCATTTTATTTATGAAGTTGGTCTAGTTGTCCGCAAAGGCAGCTATAAGTATATGTTTTTTTGTTTCGTTTCAAGGTTGGTTGCCTTCTATTAGGAGAAGGTTTACTTGAAGATCTTGTAGATACTTTGTACTATTTTTTCTATAAAGCTAGCTTGGCAGCATAAGGCTTCTATATTTGCTCATAAATGCTGTCTGTTATATGTAGTAAGATTTTTATTATTGTTTGAGATGCTTCTTTATAAGATACCTTCTCAGATTGAAGAGCTTGTATTAGTGGAACTGGGATAAGGCTCTGTAAAGTCATAATAAGATAAAAGTTATTGGTTAGCTGAGAGGGGTTAAATGCAGGATGTGAGTCATAGGAAGATATTCATATGATTGGTTAATTTTTGTAGATCTACCTGTGATTGCCCGTGACAATTAACCAATCAAAATATACAATTTATAAGAAGACTTATCATTTTAATACTACTAGAAAATGAAAAAAAAACTTAATATAAAGCTTACAAACCAATAAATACACATAAAAGAATTTATTATATATACTTTAGAGAATAGGTAAATACGCACAAAGTGGGATAAATATGATATTTATTACTAATAAACCTGAACTTATTAAAGAATCTATAAGATATATAAACCAAAATTTTGATTTATGAATGACTAACCCAAATACACTACAAGAACGTCCAATTTTAAATATTAGATTCGGATCTTCTACCATTAAAGAGCTTGTTCCTACTCAAGCTAAACGTCAGCAATAAAATTTTCTTTAGATCTAACGTAATAAAGTAGTTTTGGACAAAACTTATTCCAGTTACCTTCATTCTACAATATAGTTTCGCGTGGTCCAATAAACGGAGTATATTTTTGTCTTCTAAGCAAAGTATGCAGGGAGTAAGATGATTTAGAGATTATTTTGCATAGTGAATATAGACGTTGCTTCGAAGTTAGAAAAGGCTTTTGCAGTGATTTTTTATTGGTGAAACGTTACGTTCTCAAAAAGTACTTTAAAATGTATAAATAAGTTACCCGGGCAATTGATTTACATCAGCCAATCAGACGAAAGTCCTCCTATGAGCCGCCCCCATTTTTGATACACCTGTACCTACCTTTTCGACATGTAGATCCCGGCAAGAGTAAAATTTTAAATCTTTGAGCGAAGATATCTCGACAACTACCTGCTTGAATCTGATAAACCTTTTGGATTTGAATTCTATGGATTCATAGAATTCAAAAAAAAAAAAAAATTCATCGAATTTAACCATGTGGTTGTCGAGATATATTCGCTCAAAATTAGAGACAAATCAAAACGCCTAACTGCCAAATTTCTCTCTAATTTTTAGCGAAGATATCTCGATAACGGTCTGTCCAAATTCGATAAAATTTTTTTTCTTTCAATTCTATGCATTTATAAAATTTAAATAAAAAAATTTCATTGCATTTAGTCAAGTGGGTGTCGAGATATCTTCGATCAAAGTTAGAAAGAAATTTGGCGTAGATTTTATTTTGATACGCATTTTGATTTTTTCTTTGAGCGAAGTTATCTCGACATACACTTGATTAAATGCGATAAAATTTTTTTATTTAAATTCTATGTATCCGTAGAATTCAAATAAAAAAAGTTTTATCGAATTTGGTTAGGGAAATGTCAGATATCAGCTGATATCGTAGGGTAGGGGGAGGTAGACAAAATCTCAGGTCTAAATATATACATATAACCAATCAGAATGACAATTTCTCGGGGGGAGGGGGGTGAGCTCTAAAGTAACTGATCTCAGCTAATATCTGACACGTCCCTTAGATAGTTATCGAGATATCTTCGCTCAAAGTTAGGAAGAAAATTTGGGCGTAACTTCTATTTTGATAGGTGTTTTAATTTTCTCTAATTTTGAGCGAAGATACCTCGACAGCCACTTGACTAAATTCGATGAAAAATTTTTTATTTGAATTCTATGAATCCATAGAATTCAACAAAAAAAGTTTTATCGAATTTGGTCAAATAGTTATCGAGATAACTTCGCTCAAAGTTAGAGAGAAATTTGGCGCAGTTAGGCGGTTTGATTTGTCTCTAATTTTGAGCGAATATATTTCGGCAACCACATGGTTAAATTCGATGAATTTTTTTATTTTGAATTCTATGAATCTATATAATTCAAATCTTATCAGATTCAAGCAGGTAGTTGTCGAAATATCTTCGCTCAAAGATTTTAAAATTTTGATTTTTTACCGGGATCTGCATGTCGATCAGATATCAGATATCAAACCAATCACATCTGATGAAGATCATTTGACATGATAGCCAATTAACGATAAAATGACGGTTTCTTTTTTTTTTAATTCCAGAAACATAGAAACATGGAATTGAATAACGTTGATATAAAATCGTTACCAATTAACATAAATTGTTTACAATGGTCTGAAGAGAATCATATTTCTGTTGTATCACCTTCTGGCATAGATATTTTTGTAAGTATTAACAACAAAAGTGACAAATGTTCAAAATGTTATCGTTATAATTAATCTTATTATTTTATAGATACCATTATATAAAAGCAAATATACTCGTAATGCTCTAGTAACATGTCAAGATTCTAGTGAACGAAATCCAATCGAGATTAATGGTATATGGGAAAACTTGTTTTTTGTGCATAAACAAATTATTGATCCTCTTATAAAAAAAATTCTAGATTTTAATTCCACGCTTATAAAAGATATACCTGAAGTTTTCAAATGCTTAACTTGGTCTCCAATAGGTTGCTCTATTATTCAAAGGTATTTGCTTAATTTTTTATATTTGGAGTAATAAATTGATTTCAATATACTTTTTCTATATGCAGTTGCTTATTTATTGCAATAACATCAAGATTTCATGTGGCAATATATGGTCCTAGAGATGGTCCCTTACAGAGAGATTGGATAGAGGTATTTTATAACTTGGTTAATGATCTTTTTTTTTTGCTCATGTTTTTCAAAATTAGCTATTCAGTTTACTACATAATAGGTTGAAAATATGTCACCTAGATTGTTGCAGCAATACACAGAACAAACCGATGAGATCGATGAGACCGATAAAACATTGGTGGATAAACTACAATCCATATGTACGTCTTTTATGACCATGAGTATTTACCCTTCATTAATTTTATTTTAATTATCATTTACTCCAATGTCTCAGCTGTATCGTGGTCTCCTTTATGCTTTCCAGAAAGCTTTGACCCTTTTTCTGTAATAGCAATAGGAAGTAAAGCTGGTACTATAACATTATGGAGGCAAGTATATATTGTGTTTTTTATCTAGTGTTTTGTTCAATATTTATTACTAAAATTGATATTTATTATTTTTATATTATTATTATTATTTTGATAATCAAATTTATGATTAAAGTTACAAAAATGGATTAGATTATATTTTAACAATGCAACCACATGTCTCTTGGGTTATAACATCATCTTGGTCGCGTTGGCTCGATTTGGGCCAGGATCAATGTATGATCTCAATTAATTAAGAAGTAATTTATTATTATCATATTAACCACAACATATTTGTGATTTTTATGATAAACAAAAAAGATGCATCAAGTTTTGTGACTGCTTCAGATGACGGTTCGGTTTATATGTGGAGAATAACTGTATCATTAATCCCTGTTATATCTTTGGGTATAGAGAATATAAAGATGCAAGCTTCAGTCGCTCTACATGCGACACTTTCTCAAGCTGACAATCGACCTGCATTAATTATGAAATGGTATGAATGTAATGTATGTACTATTGTAATATCCGAAATTTTTAGTGAATGAATGAATGTATATATACATATACATATATATATATAAATAAACATCAAATAATATTGAACATTAGAATACAGGAGAAAAGTTTGCTATAGTCAAAGGTCTCAAAATCTACGTTTGGACATCAAACGAATCACCTTTAATTAATACAGATTTAGAACCTCCAAAGACGTTTAAAGTTCCTTTAACTAAAGGAGTAATAGGTGACATTTCATTAGTAAAATCTTTGATACCCATCTATTACCTTTATTCAAATATGTCCTCTTTTTTTAGCAATGATTTGGAATTATGATGGATCTCAGCTTTATATCTTCAATAATGAAGGTAATAATCAGACACTTAACGTCTCAGAAACAAATATTGATGTTAACGAATCCACAACAAAGTATATCAATGACGTTTTGGCTACGAAGTGGCAATTGCAATATGAGGATAATGAGGATGAGGATGAAGATGAAGAATTTGATGTAGAATCTCTCTCTAATGAAAATGAAAATGAGGGAAATGATGATATGTTAATATCAGAAGTTGAGCCTGTATACTTTGGAGCCGATGGCTCAGGAAATAGTCTTTTTTTTGCTGTTCTTTTTGCGTGAGCTTCTAATTTTATAATTGATTTCTGTAATCACGTTAAAGAATCACATTTTATTTACAAGCTTAATCAAATTTAGATTAGAAACTTCCGAAACTCCATATGTTACTGACAAATATGAAGTTTCCTATGTGACTTTTTGTCCAAGTGAAGAACCATCAAAAAATGGACTTATACCTTCATTGATCACAAGATTCAAAAACATGCTCGAAGATGCATATATCTGTAAGCTTCGCTATAACAAATTAACATATCATTTTTATAAAGTTAATAAAATAAATAAAATTTTGTTTATAGTAGAGAGAAAATCTACAAATTATCTTATGTGGGATTTATTGGAATATTGTGACCTTGAAAATGAATTCGATAAAAACGATTCATTACTTCATCAATTAGACAAAGCTTGTTGGGATTGTTATAATAAATATACCACATCATCTTCAAGTTTCGAACTATCAGATAATGATGAATCTACTACAAAAGGTTTAAAGTAAGAAAATTAAATGTACTTTTGCCTATCTAAAAATATTATAAGTGCTGATTACTATTTTGATTATTATTTTATAAATTTGAATACAGTGAATTTTCTTTAATTGGTATTATCATGAAATGGAAAAATGTACTCTATAGGAATTGTTCTTTAAATGCGCTTCGGTTACTCATGCATATTTATAGTAACGCTATGGTAGGTATATCATCGAAATAACCTTTTTATATATATGCATGTATATATATTAAACGTGGTAAATGTCCATAGAAGCGTTTAGAAGCTCCTTCGGGTTTTCAGTCGCAACTGAGTCCTGCATATGAAAACTGTTTGAAAAGAATTGAAAATTATTTCTTGAATCAAGTTTTATCCACAATTGTAGATTGTATTAAATTTGGAGTTGCAATCAATAATGGTGAGGTTTTTATTTATTAATTGAAATTTTCTGTGTTATCGTATAACTAATCAATTTACTTGTTTTTTTTTTAGAACATGATCAATTATTCATTGTTTATTGGTGCGATTGGATTTTATTATACTTTAATGATGACAATGGGTTACTAAAATTAGCAAAATTTTTATATGAATACTTGAGCACATTACAAGGAAAAGCTAATTTTGAAACTGAAAAGGCTTGGATATCACAATTACTTTCGTCTAAAAAAAGTAAAAAAATTAACAAGGCACCAACAAGAGCATCATGTCCTGCATGTAAATCAAATATCCTTTATTTATTAGATCTCTTATTAAGAGGTTAATTCCAAAATTTTGATATTTACTTATTATTGTGTTCTTAATTCAATTAATACATGTATCATTCATGCGAGGTCCAACGGGACAGTGCACCAAAGGACACACTTGGGGTAATATAGCATGTGAATGAAATTTATTTATTTTGCATCATTTATTCACTTTTTTTTTCAAATATCTTTTTTAGATCTTTGCTCTATAACTTTAAGTATTGTGGCAGTTAAGAATGTGAGATCTTGCAATAATTGTAATCGTAAAATCTTGGCGATGCCAGACTTTCATAGCCCAATAGGCGAACAATCTACATCAATAATTGTGAAAGCAATTTTTGAAACTTGTGAAAAATGTTTTTACTGTGGAGGTAATTTCATATTTCGACCAAGATAGGTTAATCATTAATTGCAAAGTTATTAAAACTTATAACAAGTAGTAGTTTGCATATTAATTTATATATGATGCTTATATCTGTTGTTTATCAATATGAACGTATACAAAATTTTCATATATTATATATACGTATTATAAATTCTTTATTCGCATGCTTGAATTCAATTTGTCAAGTTAAATTGTCAATCTCATCTTCGAAAATATATCGTTATTTTATTAGTTTGACATCAAATAAAAATTGCATAGTGTCTAAATAAGAACCAAGATTTTAATTAGAGTCAAAAAATATTAAAATCGATCAAAAAAGTGCCGAAGACTGTTTTTCCCGGTTCATTCCCTATATATTCATGGTATTGCTAGTTTATAATATTCTATATTGATGAGGAATTCACAGACATTATAATGAGTGAAATATATGGTGTCTTTGTCTTGAAAATCACGTTATGGGACATAGTAAATCATATGTCCCATAACGTGATTTTCATGGCAAAGACCCCAATATGCTGTATGTCAGGCATTTAATGGAAAGGTAATCAAGTATTTGATATTTTAAGACTTATATTTTTAAAAGCTAATTAATTGGGTAGCAGATAGACAAATACGAGTTGTGGTGTTAATTAATAGTATAGACAAAGATACTAGTAAAGAAAGGTTATTATTTAAAATAAATAGCAAGATGTAAAGCTAATAAATTATTACATGTATTGAATCAGTAAATTCGCCACATGGATGCCTAAATTATTTTTGAAACATCGTATTTTCGGCAAACATTTCGGCATTGCTAAATTTTTTTATATGAAACCCTTCGAAATAACTATATTATATGATATATTTTGATGAAAAGAGTTCAAAAAAATTCCGGCAATAATTTCGGCAAATATAAAAATTAATTTCGGCTGTCTAAATGCCGTAATTACTTTTTTATTAAGATGGGCAATTTAGGTACCCATGTATAGCCAACCATATGGATGTCTTCCTATACACGGTATAGACTGACAAATGGGCACCAGCACCAGCAATGGCATAAGAAAAGCACTTCTGCACTAGTATTTTACAACTTAAATTTATGCATCTTAGAATATGATACGAGACGGTCAGATAAACTCAAATTATACTGTAGTTAAATAAATTTCATTAAAGTGAATATGTCATTAAGGTGAATATGACACAAATACAGTATTAATTTGACGCACAACTTATACGGATAACAGATAAAAAAATTCAACTATACTTTCGTATTAAATTTTTTAAGCAAAATTTTATTTCATTTTTATTATTTAATATACTACTGTATTACAACAATATACATTTATTTAATAAACGTTATTTAGGCCGTTCGAAGTTGATTCTTCGGTTAACATCCACTGAAGTCTCCCCCGAAAAATGAACAACCAATCGAAACGCTGGATAACTCTCGCCAATTACTTGATTTATGCCGACCAATGAAATTGGGCAATTTTTATATGTTCGTTTCATTTTACCCCTCCCCCCCTCTCTCAAGAGTTCTAAGAGTGATGTTAACCGAAGAATTAACTTCGAACGGCCTTATCATTAAATCATTAAATATTATACAATATATATATATATAAAGAAATACTTGGTTTCAGAGAAAATCTCTTACTTGTCCCAACCACCACGGAGAGGTGTATCTCATCGGCTGGGAAGGACCGAGAAATATTTATCGGTCACGAAAGTTATCCTAGTTCTTTATCAAACTTCTTAGAAGCTTGTGCTGTCGCGCCAATAAACACTCACCCACCCCAACTAGTGTTTCAACCAGTGAAAAAAAATTGACGTGCGCTACGTTCATTCTAGAGCTGCAGGTGAAACTAATTAATTTCACCAAAAAACTGGCGCACCAGCGATGCACCATCGGCGCACTATTGAAAATTAGTTTCATCTATAATTCTAGTTTTACCATCGGTGCACCATTGAAGATTAGTTTCACCTGCAACTCTAGTTCATTCTGCACGTAGATCTTATTTTTGTGAACATAAAAAAATTTTTAAACGCGCGTGCACGTTGATTTGTAATAAAAATATCCTGAGCCGTTGGGTATTAGCGGAAACGAAGTTTCCGCCTGTACACATACGGATCAGGGTATTTTTATTAAATACCCTGTGATCTTGATATAGTGATCGGGGTATTTAAATAGGAAAAAAAGGATAAACCCCAATTATCAGACCCACGGGTCTAATTATAGGTTTTAAAATTGGTAAAATAAATTAGACTCGAGTCTTGTATGCGGCACTTTTATGTGTATGAATTACAAGTTGACATGAGTTCAAGGCTAAATTAAATTTGTAATACGCCAGAAATTAGATCGAATTAAAATTTCTAAGAACTAATAAGCCCACATTAATTTCAAAATTTAGTGTGCAAAGCGCACATTAATTTTAAAATTCAGTGCGCAAAGCACACATAATTTAAATTTGAATTTTTTACACTGGTTTTAACCCGTCTAAAAAACCATGACCCGGGTGACCCGCGGGTCACCCGGGTGGATCAACGGGTCATCGGGTAACCCGTTTAATCCGGGTGGGCTCTAATAAATTTCTAGAACTGTGCAGTGTTTTAAACTCCACTTAATTGTATTTTTTCCATCCATCCTTATTCGTTTTCTATCTAACCAGGGTCGCAGAACTCTATCAACAATTTCTTGAATATTATCTAATCAATTGCACTCTCATACTCCGTAGCATTAAATTGAAACTCTTTAATACAATCATCCATACTTGTCTATCCTTGTACAATCTTCTGGGGTTCACATTCTGGCATCAGGCCTCAGAAATATTACATCAGCTTAAATTTGCACACTTTTCGTTTTTACTACAGCATCTCTTTTAGAGTTAAATTCGTAATTTAACTTTTTTTATTGCCCAATTATTATAGGATCGACGGGTTGGTTCACGGGTGACCCGCGGGTTGACCCGTCTGCATCCACCCGGGTGGCCATAACCACAACCCGGATATCCGACCCACCCGGGTTGAAACACTAACTCACACTATTTCCTCCAGAATCTCCCGACTAGAGGTAGGTTGTTCGTATAACATACGCTTTACCAATTCGCCAAACAACTTCTGCGTGGTGCCGGGTATGAGTTCACCGATGTACTCTGCACCCTCTCTCATGAACCTTTTTGCTAATAATGTTACAAGAAAGATACGTAACTATTCCTCTTCTGGGAAATGGTAGATCTCGGACAGAAGAGACACAAAAAGGTCGAGATACAATGCCTGCGAAAGAAGATAGCAAATCAGGACAAGAAAAAAAAAAACTAACAATGGTAAATTTATATACAGCAAATTACTGATCTTCAAAACAAACATTCGCGTGTTTTAAGTATCAAAACAATCATGTAATTATATTATTGGCTAATTTGGCGAACTGATAAATCACATGAATTCTGGAATTCGCCGCTGCAAATAGGGAAGCCTGTCTTTTTAATTTGATTTATAAATTCAATTAACTAACTTCAAGATACTTCTATACTTAATAACCTTGTATATGTTGTGTGTCAAATTTTTTTTTTAAATATATATATATATGGGTGCTGCAAGGGAAAAACTTCTTAATCTTCGGAACTCCGCTTTTAGGAACAGACGATATCAAATTCCTATAAACTGTTTCTGAAAATGAAATTTCGGAAAACTAACAATTCCAGGTTTTTGGTTTTCTCTTGGCCGCACTCATAATATATATAGTAGAAATAAAAAACTATTTTTACATGTTTTGCAATGAAATTGATCACGCCAAATAGGATTATATTCACTGAGTATTTATTATCATTTTGTCACTCATCGAGGGGTCCCTTCCGCTTTGTGCTATTCATACTAGCATGCAGGATTCGAAACTATCGATCGAATCGCCTAAGACCTAATAGACTTCTAATGCTACTTTTTATCACAAAGGGTGGGGTGAAAAAAACCAGACAATCCTATCTAGAAAAAACCCTAAGTTCCCCTTTGATTAACCTGCTAGTCACCCAACGAATGCTATGTACTACAAATACAACAAATCTTTTCCGTGACTGTCGTCTCGACAGGTCACTTCTATGTACTCAAACATCAAGAATTCACTTCGTGGCTGTCATCTCGACAGGTCACTTCTGTACATACAGACAATGAAAAAACAAAACCTGTTGTGACTGTCGTCCCGACAAGCCTTTCCTATCTCTAAATAAATGCCACATATGACAGTCATCCGACAGGTCATAACTTATCCAAAACAATTGAAAAACAACGACTGTCATCCGTCCAATTAAAACCTTATATCTTCCACGAGGGTCAGGTAGAGGTGGGACGAAAAAACCAACAAAGTCAGGTTAGCAGAAAAAACAGAACTTACCTTTCCTAGGTAAAACCCGTTCACCTTAAAACCACTAACGATTACTAATCGCAAAATTTACGTCATTATGTCATAAGATCATACAATAAATCACGGCAATGCATCAAGCGAATCATGCAATAAAATCATAACAATGCAAGATCAATTATCGCGGTTTTCGAAAATTGCAAATAAAGTTTTTTTTGACAAGCACTCAAACACTCGATTGCCTTAGCATGTTGATTGAAGATCATCCCGATTTTGTAATTGTTTAAATTGTTTATCAAACAATAATCATACAGATTAGTCTTCAATCAAAGTGCTAAAGTAAACGTGCTAAGGTAATCGAGTGTTTGTTCGAGTGTTCAAATTTATTTGCTATTTCAACCATTTCTAAAACCGCGATAATATACACCCGTGATCGATTCGAGACAAAATGCTGCTCCGATACTTTTCGTATCAGGCAGCTAATTAATGCAATATATTTTATTTTTATTGTTGCATAAATTCAAAAAAAAAATCAAATTAAATTACATTCTTTTGGCTAGTGATGAGCACCGCGCGTGATCCGCGCGTAACGCGTGGGATATATTGTATAATTTGGGTAGTGTCATAAATCAGGCCAAATTCCGAAACATTCGGAGGTCGAGGTAAAATTTTGACCCATTTCCAT